TATTTCTAAATTATATACTACAAAGCAATAATAATCTGTTAATTTGTTTGTTAAAATAAATAATCTTACGAGTTTTATCAGAAAGGCTTATCCATTAGCTAAACATTTGTTGATACTGATATTTTAATTTAACAATAACATACGAATTTTCATCTATCCATAAATGTATATTATAAAAATTTATTACGCCTGCTATCCATCTAGCTATATTAATAAATAAAATGTTAGCTATAAAAGAAACAAATTTACAGTACGTTTTCTGAAATGCCATTGACAAAATACCTTTACTGAATAATTCGAAAAAATAAAGAGTTACACTCACATTGAACGTTGTCATTCGCGTATATAACATTTGTTATTTAAAGAATTCTGTAAACAGTATAAACACTAATACTTATATATTTGCTGCACTTTTCTTAGCACTAGTCTCAAGATCTTTTACACCTCTTTTAAAACGTAGTTTTTTTACATCTAGAACGGAAACAGACTTAGGTCGCTCGTAAGTCGCAAACTAATTGTAGATAAAAAAGAACCTTACAGAGCCGATAAAACGTTTTGAAAAATGTATGATGTTATTAGACAGTCTGAATATTTTTAGCACAGACACAACGTACAGCAAAGCTATTTCAAGTAAAACATAAATTACATGCCGACCATTTCCTCATAAAAATAACGAGATTTACCATTGATAATAAATTTATATTTTAAATTGCATATCTAATTGATAATCTCGATTGTCTATTGAGATTCTACTCAATAAATCAAGCACATTTACGTATTAAAGAGTATCATGATAATAATGGATAATCCTTTATCCTTATACTAGAACAGATGCGGATATGTAACTTACATTATCGAAATAGAAAATCGCTGTTTACATCAAAAGAATTAATTTACTAAGTTATGCTGACTAAATATTTTTTCTTTAATTTAATAAGTTTTAAAGCACTTATTTAAAACATTTTGTGTATTTTGGTATATAATGTGTATTTCTTTGTATAATTTTACACTAAATTGATTAAACAGATACAAACACGGCTAATCAGAATCGTTCGTTAAAGAATCGAGGCTGGTCGAATACTGCAAATATAATTTCGGTTCTTGGCGGGCCAAAACGGTTTCTCTTTGTCCTTTGGCACGATTTGTGGAATTCGTTGAACCGTCACAAAGAGAGGAATCAATGATGCTAAACACTTTCCATTTTAAAAATAATAAATATAGAAGAGTAAAAGAAATTAAAATGATAATATTAGAATGTTTAATTCAAAATATAACATTATAATTTTGAGGTTTTGAAACTCTTTTAGTGTTTGAAAAGCATTCAAATATGCAAAACGCAAAATATGCGAAAAATATTCAGAGAGAAAAATGCCTATTACAGAAAATTGAGGGAAAATAACAGATTGAGAGAAAAATATCGATAAGAAAAATGAAAAAGTTGTTTAAACTAAAAAGACATAGTACTGTTTATAAAGTTTATATCTATATATTATAACTATTTTGCTGTTTTACTAAATATTACTTTTTTTCTTGTAACAAGAGAAGAATAATACTTCTACTAAGGAGAAAGTATGATACTTCATATATTTTTTTATCTAATTATTATTTTTTTATTTAAATATTTACATAAATTTCTTTTTCTTTCCATGCATATGCATGATTTTCACATTTTTTGAACTACTGTTTAATTCTTTTTTAGGAATAGAGATTTATAATATTAAAATGCCTATTTTTTCATTGAGAAGAAAAAAGATTTCTAATAACCGTCAACAACGAAATAGTAACAATGCTCGTTATTTTTAGTCTCGTAAAAGCACGCATTATGCTTCAGATTTTACATCGTCCTATCTATTTTAGTGACGCTGTTGCTAAATATGTAACATCGAGTGTGTGATAAATTTAATAAACATTCTACACATGACAGTATAAAGATACTCAACTTTACGATCCATCCGGCACTGTCGGAGTTTTAGATATCTTTTTAAATACAACTTTAAATACCTTAATTTTATAATCTTCTTAATAATTATTTTATCCAATTTTCTCGAATAACCCTGATTATTTTGTTATAAGTGTATTTGTTATAAGATTTTTTTGTTTTATACATTCATTGTATATATTATTTTACTTTAGGAAATATAGTTAACAACCAAATGAGGTTTAAACTATCATCGTGACGAAGTTCTTTGCGACATTATCGTACGCGGAAGCGATAAGCTTCTTTCTATCGACATATGTAATGCATACATATTTGTACAAGGTTACGTTTCTATTGTTTCGAAGAATTGTTTTGAACAGTATTAACAATGAAATTCATACGTTTAAAAACTAAATCATATTAATATCACGCATAAAAATTAAAGTTTTATGCGTAATATTAATATTTTTTTCAATTCTTGATATTATTTTATTATTCTGTTTATTGTTTCTTGGTTATATACTAATCATAATTAAAAATAAAACAACATCTACAAAAAATGTTAATTAAAATTATAATATATATGAAATATATTATTTTATCTTCACACAAATGTTAAAAATATATAACAATTATTAATGTATAGGTAAATTGGTATTATAAAATTAAAAATATAAAAATTAAATGTTATAAACCTGTAATAAACATTAATATTGACAAAATTTTTGTTTTAAATTTAATTAATTTTTTTTTAAATTGCTTCTATTTTTAATAAAATTAATTTTTATGTTAATTATTTACGTTGGTATGAGGTATAAAAAGATTGAGTAGGCATTATTTATTCAGTTTGATGAAAACTATATTCTCTAAATTTTAAATCATTTTTTAACACAAGTAATTTGCTTATTCACAAATATGTTTTAATTATAATAAAATTCTTTTGTACTTACATCAGTCGATGTAAGAAACTATACCAAGGTATCATCATTTATTATTACGCAATTTGTGACTGTTTAACAACGTTTTCTTTTTGGAGTTCTAAACAATACAATAGTCAGTCAACTAACTAACATTGTTAGTTCCTGTCTAGGAAATTTTCGCGACAAGCAAAAATGAGCTCACGTTATAATAGTACCTCATTATGGTTGCCACTTCACCATAAGTGGAATCTAATACTTTGGTATGCAACAATTCGAATTATTTCATCAGACTCATCTTTAAATGACGGAATTCCTTACCTGTTCAACAGAGGGCCTGATTCTCCCTTAAAGCTGATTCTATTGAAGGTTCTTCTTTTAAATGTGCTTAAGATATCTCCTCTCTTTTGATTGACGGTTTCACCTATCTCCTCTGCAGAATCTTCACTGCATAATTTTACCGCAACTGCAGCTGCCGGCATCGACGTGTGCACCAATAATTCGCCTAAAGGCACAGTATGGGGATCTGTGATAGTCGAGGGTTCTTCCTCATGATCCTTGTAGTCCATTTTTTCTTTTCTTGTTACTCTCATTTTAATTCTCTCTTAATCCATTAATATTTCTGAGATATTATTTGATAAAATAATTGATTGAATTAGATTGAATTACGATTTTAATTAAAATTCGCAATCTTTTTCTCTTTTTAAGAATAATTTAAAACAAAGAGAATAAATAAAGAATTGTTTAATTTCGATTATCTTATTTCTATAAAATCAAAATTTCTTTTATTTAAATGTTATAACATGATTATTTATTAGTAATGAAGATATTTTTCTCATTATATCATCAAATAATAATATTATAATATTTAAGAGATTTAAGAATATAAAAATTATTTTAATTTAATGATTTTAGAGCGTTAAAAAGGATTTTCTTGTCGGAGAATGTGAGACTATATTAATACATTTAAAAATTCTGTAAAATTTTATATTTGTACTTATATTTTAAGTTAGAATAAAACTACAGTTATATTTTGCATTAAAATTATATTATATATTACAATTATAATAAATATTTAAAATTGTAATATATGTTTAGTATTTAACAAATTTTCATATTATGTTTTACTTTTAATTTTCATATTCAGATAAAGATCTTCTAACAAATCCAACAGACGATTTATTGAGAAACTTGAAATACGGTTTAAAGACCATATGTCGTTCTTCACATCGCGATTTATTTGACTTCCTTGAATTGATGACGAATGTGTTTTACTAATTTCGAAGAATTTCAAATACTCTTTTGAGAAAATATAATATGCAATTTATTCTTATGAACATTCGTGTTTGAATACTTTACTTACTTTACGGACACTTGTTGCTCATGTATATTTATACATTCACTTAATTTTTCACCGTGCCTTTTTTCTATTCCAAAAACACACTTTATTTTATTTAAACATATCCGAATATTTTATAATATTGCTATACTATCACACATCATACACATATAAAAAATATTTAATCGTTTTTAATTTTTATTTTTAGGATTTTATGTTTAGTCTTGATTTTTATGTTAAATTGAAACTTATTTTCTTTTCTCTTTTTTTAATTTAATTTATTTAATGTGATAATTTTTATACAAAATAATTTATTAATTCCTTTTCGCCAAACGATGAGCGATCCTCTTAATCCGATCTTGCCACTATGCATTTTATATTTGCTTCGTCACTCACAAATTCACTTGTTATGTCGTCATTCCACGAAGATAGATATTTAATTATAACTTAAGATCCCTTTGAGCACAGCATACAGTATAATCACAAATTGAAATCTACGATAGTATAGCGATAGTAAGAAGTTATTGATCCACAGATTGTTCGGGAATTGGTGGCAGTCATTTTGCGCGTTCGACCGAGGCTCCGCCGAGATTGCGGCAAAGCGCGATCGCAAGAATCGTCAAGCGAAAATAAATCGCGTTAGTGCGCGTGGGCGAACGTGAGCGTGAGTGCGTACAAACGCGGCGTATGCACGTCATCATAAAAGAGGAACGTGACGTGACGTGTGTGTGACCATGCTGCGCGGGATATAAGATTGCGCCGCGGTATCATGAACTTTGATTTTTTAGATTCTAGCGCAACAATAAATCCATATCAATTCACAATTTGCAAAGATTCCAATAACTATGACAACTTGATACGAGAATGGTTTTCGAAAGTATTTTAAGTGATAATCAAAGTCAATGTCGCTGCAGTTAATTATTTTCGAATTGACAAAAAACGTATAGGATTTAAACATTGAAATATTACCTAAGTTAATTTAATGTTATTATTAATTCAATGTACATTATAGAGTCGTTATGTTTAAAACATCTATATTTAAGATAAATGTTTAAAATATTTTTTAATACTACATTGTTTTAAATATATTTTAAAGAAATGTGAAACATATTTTTTTTTTAATTTAACATAGATTTTAAGAGAATAATATTCGTAATTTTTATTCGTATATAACGTTTATTTCTATTTATATAGATAATTATATTGAAAAATTAGAGTAGACAATATTCTTTGCTTCAAGCTGTTCTTAATTTATCTTCCTTTTTTATGTTTCTATTCTATAATATATTCTTTTTATTTATTTTGATATTTTCTGTGAACTTTGCACCTCCTTCAGTAGAATAATCGCAGAAGACAGGTGTGGTTAATTAGCCCAGGGGATTAAATTTAAATTGCAAAATAGAGAAAGAGCAACGGAAGGTTAGTAGTTTCGCAAGAATCTATTTCGGTCTTTGTTTGGAAAGCACTCACTGAACGTTTCTTGTACAAAGAATGTGATATAATAAACTAATAAAAAAACTTATTTTAACTAACATTTAAAAAATAGTATAATTAAATAGAAAAATATTATATATTACAAATTGTATGAAAATTATATTGACCAAGATATACACAATTGGAACTAAAAAATTAGTAGTATAATTATAAAATAAAGGACTTGTATGTATTAATCCTCCATTGTCCCTGTATAAAGCGAATCATAGCAAAGTTCACTAAACTTGAAACTAGTTTTCTTTATTATGATTCGGTGCTTATATGAAAACATTAACGTTTACTGTACAAGGGCAATAAAGAGTTAAACAAAATAAATTATTAAATGAATTAATTCCTAAAGTTTAATAAATTATATAAAGTATTTCGGTTAGCTGAATTAATTTTTATTCTACTTACTTGTTTTATATCTTATTTATTTTGCCATTTGACAAAATTGATACAAAAAATTATTAACCCTAACATTTACTCGCAACACAAGGTGAACACACCTCAACCTAGGAAATCTACTAAATTCACAGAATAAAAATTTCTTTATTAATCGAATGCTGCACAAATTATTTCACAATTAAAGAAGAACTTTTATACTTACTTTTACATAGAAAATGTATAGAAATTTATCAACTTTTACTTAATTATAAAAAACAAAATTATAATATATAATGTTGGGGTGTAAAATATACTTTAAGTAAGTAATTACGTTAAAAAAAATCATGCGAATAATATAGAGTAAATTTATACAATGGCTATACAATGGTTGAAACGTAGTAAACGTAATAATTATAATATGACCAATTGGATCGAGTAAAAATCTTTTTTGTTAATTATTTACTATGCGAAGCAAAGTTTCTTCTAATTTGGTAAAAATTTAACTTCAACAAAAGTAATATAATATCAATATATTGTGAACGTATATACATAATTATATACAATATGTATCTCGAGAATGTTATATTTACATAAACTGAAAATAATATTCATTGCCTAGAACCTTATTTACAATTTACAATATATACAAGGTACTCTGCAGCAATCATAATTCTTTTGTCTTGTTGATTTTTAGACTAATGGTTACAAATACCACAGGTGTATTTTCTTTCGAATTACCTCTTCTCACACTATTCATATTGATGCGTTATTTTATTGATTCGCTCTATTTTATCAGCTTCCGACACCTCAATTCCATCGCTAGAAACGCTCTCATATTAGGATCTTGCACCTTCTCGAAGATGGTTTTTTGCAGATCTATGTCGGATCTCTCTATCACGTTACTCAATTCTTCCGCATATTTAATCCATACGCAATTCGTGCACCCTGACATGCAGCAATTGGTCGGCTCCGCCAAATCGCCAATTGAAGTTTCCTTTGCTTGATCGACCCGATCCTCGTCATCTTTTCGTATCGACATATTCCGCCGATAACAATACAGTCTTTTAGTAACAAATAGTCTCGATCGAAGCGTGGAATTCATTTGTTTTAATTCTGGGCAAGATGCATGCTATGCAGTAAAATTGTTTTTAGAATGATTAGATTAACTTAGATGAGATAACTGCTTGGTTTTTGCTTATGAATAACGTTGGAATAAATTCAAGGAAGTCTTATCTAACCTCTTGTTGGAACAATAACATTTAGGACGTTCGAACCATAGATGTAATATGCTAGATAGATGGAATCCCGTTTTATGAAGAATAAGGGCTCGATTCTTGAATTAATTTGCAAGAGAAACGTATGATTGGCTATCACATTGTTCTTAGCCAATCAACTTGTAGATTTTTCATAAGAACGGAATTTGCGCACACGTTTATCTTTCCAGACAGCACGCATGTCCAAAATCGGGACACTGGATTGTGAATGAATTGAGCTAAGTAGCAATAAAATGTGATTGGCCGCGTTCAGCAGACACAACTGTTGAGTTTGTCTTATCAATACTCTGCGTTGATTGGTTGGTTCTAAAAGTAAGAGCCAATCACGTTTGACTGCTACTTAGCAGCTTGGTCTGCTGAACGCGCTCATTGGCTCTTATCTTTAAATCTTTAAATCCAACCAATCATATTTAGCGGTCGTGCTACTGAATGCACCCAAAATTCTTTAGAAATTTTAGTAAGAAGTTTATAAGGTTCCTATATATAGAGAAAATAGATTATTTTCGTCCCTAGAAAATGAACGTTTGTAAACAAGCTGTTTACGCGGCCACACGGGCCACGTGCGAGCGCGAGGCGAAAGACGCGGATTGACGGAACGAGAGAACGAACAAAACGCGAATATGGGCCGCAAGATACCGGGGAAGAAGCATCGGGGTGTCAAGGATCCCGAGAAGCAGCGCGCTAAGCGCATGGCGGAGTGAGTTACTAAGTAAAGTTGGAACTTGAGCGATGAAGTTTAGATGATTTGTATACTGAGCTAGCAGCGGATTTTAGGTTAGAATTGTGCACAAATACGGCGCCGAAAAACGTGGACGAGCAGGCGATCCCGAAGAGCCTGGAGCGCGTGATTAAATTGAAGGAAGCTGCGAAGACCAGCGGCAACATCTCGAAGAGGAAACGAAAGAAAAAGAATGCGCTTATCTGTGTGGGGCTGCAGCATCATAAACCAAATCCAAAAGGAAAGCCAGAGAAAGTTACACCAGTATTTCAACAGCGACCAGGCGAGTCCGGTAGGCAATTCATGCACAGGGTGTCCAAAGAAACGCATGATTTTCTCAAGGAAATAGCATTTGAGAAGAAGTATGGTGTCCAGATTGAACGGGATTCGAATACTGGCGAAATTCAAGGTTTAACAAAATGCAAACGTGAAAAGGATGATGTAGAAGCGTTACAAGCGAAGCATAAGAATATTACCAGGAAAAAGAAGGTAGCTGAGCCTTCAGCTACCTTAACAAAAAGCGATAAGCGGAAACTGAAGCTGCGTATGAAGAAAGAAAAGGAACTGGAAAATCGTGATGAGTTTGAGAGGCTGCAAGACAAGGTTATTTTTGGCGAAGTTGCCCACGAACCACCCAGATTAAAAATCAAGTCCAAAAAAATGGATGAGAATAGAAAGCCGAAGAATTTATTGTTGAGTTCGTTATTGGAAAGTCCTAAAGAGGTTTCTTCTGCTCCTAAAGTGATTAATCGTTCTGGAAAGAGGAAACATTTACCTGAAACAGAAAGAAGAAGACTAGAGAAGAAACAGAGTGAAGCTATTGCAGCCTACAGACAATTGAAGTCTCAGCGATTGGCTAATAGAAGCGACTAGGGTATGTTTAAAATATACAAAAGCAATAAATTGTGTTTCAATAAAGCATATATTTGATTGTTTCTTTTTTAAATTTATTTTCCTGATTTTATTGCGTTACGATTATATGTTGAATGTGAGTCGAATATGAAGGATAAAACTCTTATAACGAAATTAATTGAAGTTTCTTGAAGTTAGATAATGTCCCGAAGCTTTTTGTATCTCTTAATAATAATTTCTTTGCGAAAGAACACGAACATTTTATCGAATCCAAGTTTCTTGCTAAAAAATAAGAGCGATGAAATTCCTTCTATAATTCGGATGTATTTAGCCTGTGGTCCAGACGAAGGGCTCGAGCCTCTCTTCTACTGGCAACAGATTGTTAAGCGTTTCGAGGCTCTCGAGGGTTTGATTGAGGAGCGAATGGCATCTAGTGAGCTGACGGCTGAGATCGTGCACTTTGTTCATCTGCTCCGCGAACCTAGCGAATCTCTTCTGTCGATCCACAGCGAGATTCAGCACTTTGCCAAATTCCACTTCCATATTGGTACACAAAGTGGCTTGCTCGGCTGCTATTATCTGCGCATTCGTATTGAGATGATGTTGATAACGCGCGCACAGATTGAACAGACCGACAGGATCAAGCCTCTCCAGGACCTCTGGATCGCGTACACCCGGTGGTAGGTTCAACGTGCCACGCATGATCGGCAGGAACATCGGGATACTCTGTAGTTTCACTATGTCAGGATCCTTGTCTGCTGTAGGGTCTGCTTGAGCTGGCTTCACCACTACGATATTGTGTGCCCTGTTGTCCGTATTCATTTTCCTGTGACTTTTAACAGATGGAAAGAGATCAAATCAAATGAAATCCTACGTAACATAAAATTGTTATAAAATATGATTTTTGAAGGTGTTGATTTTTTTATTACAATTTTCTGATAGAGTAAATATTATCTAATAACGAAATATTACGTGACACATAGTGCATTCTTTCTTTACATATATTTATAAGTATAAAAAATAAGAATATTATGAGAACGCCTTGTTACTTGGCATACTTAAAGAATATTACTATCTTCTTAATATGTAATTTTTCATTGGAAATATTTGAAGAGTTGTTGAAAATTGATATTTTCTATACAACCCGATGATATCTACTTGTGATTTGTTGTGCCTGGGCTGTTTTTCCGCCTCGAAAATTCCCCAGCTCCAATACTCTTCCCTCTGTAGAGTTGTGATTGTTTGTTCGTCATCTTTGGTGAATCTCCGATAGGTCGATTCACTGTATAAGAAATATACGGCAGGTCGGAATCAGAACAAATGCTGGCGCCAGGACTGATACACCTTGGTGGAGTATCCTCTGGCACTCTCTCACGATTTGGAACGCTTTTGCCACGTCTGAGTTGACTCGTCCTTGTTTTTCCACTGTTGGCACCTTGGTTACTATTCTGAGAGCTTTGCTCGGACCCCATTCTCAGATCTTTTAAACCTTACGGAACTTCAGGAAACAGAAGTGTCTGTAAAAACTATGCACTTCAACCAAATTACAGTATATTCGATATATTTTACGATATTTAACGTTTTTTTTTATCACCTTTGTGGATCACAAGTTTTGCAAATTTTATTGAAGTCTGTAATGGTTAGGAAAATCAATATAAAACACTTTTGCGAAATATCAGAACATTTAAGTGTTTAATTACAGTACATTCAATGTGTTTAATAAATTTAATAGCATTTGATATATTCTCAAGCTATTTTTTGCAGATTTTACGAAAGTATCGATATTTGTTGGTATTGTTTACGTCTTCTCGTAACACGTCATTGTTGTGAGAATGAATTGAAGTTAATCACTAAGAAGTTACATGAATACACTGTATAAAAATTTTTATTTTATGCTTGATTTATGCTTATTTGTTGCTATTTAATATATTCACTCATTTCATGTGTGTTTTATATATGGATGTATTTATGCTTTTGAGTTACTTTTATTTCGTGTTCCATAACATTGATCTGTCCACGGAAACGTCACTTCAAACGTCAATCAACGTCACTTTTCTATATATTGACCATTAACTATAAAATTATAGTGAGGAATTCGATAGTCAGATGCACGATAATTCTGCCATCTTGTATCGAGTTAGTAGATCTGTTCGCGTTGCCGTTTTTGCACTTAGAATTTAGGATTTTTGCTTTCTTTTTCTCTAACTCCCAATTTAATGTATATTTATCTTATTTTAAGTGCAGGAATTTTTAGGAATTTTAAGCAATACGGACAAATCTAGTATATACTACACCCGTAGACAACGATTCGTTCCATACTACCTGACTAGTGAAACAAATCCGAAAGATGTCTACCCTGTTCCATCTTCCATCTAGTAGATTTATATATGTACGCGTCACGTATATATACACATACGATATAATTTGGGTCGATCGTTGTCCTTAAAAAATTTTTTTACAAAATATTATTAATGTGGTTTGAATTTAAACATAGACATAGGTTTTTATATTTAAATCTATGTCTAGGTTTAAATACAAACCACTTATCTTTTGAAAATTTTGAAGTCTTTATTTTCTACTCCGTCGATAAATTACCAGTCATTTTATAAAAATTTGTATGACCTCATCAGTATCTGCTAGTATATAAACATCAACAGTAAAAATAAATAATAGAAGAATTTGTATTATTTTATAAATTACAGTTGTCAACAAGTTTATAATTTTTGATAAAAAAGAAATTAGTTGCAATGTAGCCTGAAAAAAATGTATTACATATTAAAACTGAATTTTGAAGAATTACAGAAAAATTAACTATAAATGTTATTTTAATATATTTATATCTATTAACATCTTTTGCATATTCTTAGCTTTTCCATATTTTAGCTTTTATTTATTTTATACTTTTTTATTTCTTATGTTTTTTATTAATTTAATTTTTTGTTTATTTTATTTTTTAGATTCAACGCTTGCCAGAATGCATACTGATACATATTTTATCTCAGTATATAATTTCTTTTACGAATCTAAGAGAGTCAAGGCTGTGTACCTATATGCATGGAGTGGAAGATACGAGAACGTATCTTCCAGGAAATTTACGACGATGCGTGGTATTATTCGCAACGTAAATTATAGTTATCATTGTAAAGTAAAGTATTATTGTCATGGAAATTAGATCGCAAAAAGCATGAAAGTCAGTGCAACTGATAAAATTGTATCTATTCTTGTAAATATATGTGTTGACATTTATGTTCCTTTTAACGTACATCACACGTCACTTTGCAATTCTAACAATATTTTTCACATATATTTATTATTTACACAGTTTACGTAGCGCATCAGTTTCTCATATTTATTGTATCTATTTTTTACTTGTCAGAGAAATCTTTCAAATTTTTAGAAATTTTATTGCAAATGACATTAAATCAATAAAGAATTATTGAGCATGCGCGTATTTTTTAAAGATAAAACAGATTATAAGATGTGATTGACATTTTTTTAACGAGAAACTTTGCCTGTAATTGGTGGTTAAAAAAATAGTTGCTTTTATTATTCGGTGTATTCCGTTAACTACGTATGTATACGTAATATAGATTGTATAAAAATTTATTCTCTTTTTCGCTAATTATACACAACATAAAATATAATTAAAATAGAATCTGATTAATGTAATGGAGTAAAAAATAATTAAATTTTAACTAATACACCTGAGAATTGTTAAAACACATATAATAGAATGGAGAAGAATATTAAGAGATAAAAGAAGAGAAGGAGTCGTCATGTTATATCATAAGTATAATAATATGTAATGCAAATATATAAAGTTATACATGATTTTATTTTTATGTTTATAATAATAAATATATGAATAAAAACATTTGTATAGAGAACATTTTCTGTTTTCTACGTAACAATATATAAAAATATAAAGAGATTGAGTGTATCTTGAAACGAGGTGAAAATCACAAAAGTGAACAGATTTACCAGATTTTGACAAATAAAATCGTGGATACTCTAGTGAATTTCCCCACTTTTGTAATTTTTATCTCGTTTCAAGATACACAATCGACTCCCAAATGTGTGTATGCAAAATGTTTTTTCGAAAATCATAATTCAACATTAATTCATAAATATACAGACAACATTTCCGAATACATACATTTTACTCTCGTAAGTTAATTTAATAACGATTCATATCGGAAACTATCTGTCTATCTATTACGATAAAAGACGATTTGAAGAATCTGATAAAATGTGATAAGACAATAGCGAGACGTCACGAGAGAGTTGATCTGCCAAGCAAATAATCAAACGACCGAATTTTCGCCGCAAGGTTTCTATGTTTGCCCACACTTTTCTGCATACAAAACGTGCGATCAAGAGATTTTCTATTTTCGCGAAACATTTAAAGTGTGAGAAATCCCGAAAATATATTAAATCTTATGAATTAAAGAAAGCAAGGTTCATATAAGTTATGCATTTATGTCAATATAAATAATTGTAAGAAATATTTTTTGTCAAGAATGTCTTATTGATTGAAGGTTCAAAGAATAGAGACATGCGAGCTGTATATGCTGGGTCCTAGATAACACAATGTTCAAAATCGGGACATAAAGCGTCTTAATGACGTCATTAAGACGTCTTATAATATGTCGGTCTAAAAAAACGTTTTAATGACGTTTTTAAGACGTTTTATATCCCAATTTTGGGCATTATGTTATCTGGGGTATATATATGTACACTTCTTTCAAATCTTAAAATTGGTAACACATTATTGAAAGACATATATTTCTTATAATTATCTATATTTATTGCAATTGTTTGCAATTTTTATTTTATTAGATAAAATACATACGTTATCTAAATAAAGTTTTTTATTTATTTCTCATTTACATCTTCCATTTATTATACTTTCATTGCTGATAAATATTTTATTATTGATTCATGATGGTTTCAGGAATATACGAAAAAAAAGAAAATTTGCGAAAAATAAACTTACGTAAATGGCACAATAAAAAAAATGAAATAAAATATTCAGACGTGTTTGCACATTTGTTCACGAATTATATTTTCGCGTTGAATCGCGAAACCCGTTACACTTGTAAAAATACTTGTTTCAGAAAGTTTATATCGAAATGTTATTTTAGCGAACATTTTACACGCCTTGCGGCAACGATTCGTTAATTAACAAAGCCGTCATGGAATGACGCAAAATATTATGCAAATTTTCACCAGTTCGCTAATATGTATGAAACATTTTCTGCACATTTTTAATCACGTTTTTATTATCATTATACTTACATACAAATTAAATATTTATTTTATGTAAAATAAAAATTATTCTTTTAATCATTTTTATCAATTTTAATTAATTTTAATTATTAAGTATTTTATTATATATTTACTCATTATTTATTATATTTAATTTATAATATATGATAATTTTGATTTATTACAATTATTATATATATTTGTGTGGTTTTATTATACATATATAATTATATTTTACTGTACTCTCCTCTCTCTTTCTCTCTTTTTCTCTCTCTTTCGTAATTATATATGTATAAAATGACATATAGAAATCATGCATTACACACAACACATACACACACACACACACACACACACACACACACACACGCGCGCGCGCGCATATACAAACGTTTCAAAATGAATTTCAAGTGGATTTTTGCATTTTATATACTCAAATAAAAGATAAAACTGTAAATCTCTTATTTATTTCATATACATAATATGTCTCGTATTCTCTATGCGCAATCACATACCTGTATCTCGAGTGTCGCGCGGCGCCTTTACGCCTTTCCATTTTTTTTTATGACAACAGAGACGACCGCCTCCTGTTAAAGTTTTGCGCGCCAGGATACGAGCAATTCGAATTTAATGCCACTTTTATGCTCGCTTGCTCGCTCGATTTTTATCTCGAGATTGTGCCTTCGAGGGATGTGACCCTGCGAGCCCTTTCACTCTACTTTTAAGTCACTTTCTGATGATCTATGCCGCTCTATGTTGAGAATGTCTTAACTCCCACAGTTGTTTATTTAAACAATAATAATGGTATTTGATATTCTCGGATAACTAAAAGTTAATAACCAAAAATATATATAGAAAACATACACACAATACGTGTGCGCGTATATGTGATGTGTGTGCATGTACGATTGTCTGTATTATACATATTTATATTATATTTGTGTATATATTTATATTTATATTTATAAATATGTATAATTTTTAAATATTGTTTTATATTAAATTTTTAATATTTTATATGCGACAATCCATTGTACATTATATAAAAGTTGATAAAATGTTAAATGTCTAACAACGTGATATGCATTTGGCGTGAGGTCTGCAGCGATTTAGTAATTTGTCATTGTCGAATGTGTGTTCAAAACGGCAAAGTAATTGGAAATTGGACTCGCCGAGAAATGTGCTGCGTAATACCTTTTTTATGAGCTACAAATGTTCCTTCAGTTGCAATAAATTCGTAGAAAGGTGAAGTAAATTCATGAAATGTAATTGGAAAAATTGGTTTCTAAATTCCCTTTATTCCTTCTACATTCAATAAGTATATTTAAAGAAATAAAACTTTATTCCTTATTATATATGTGTGTATATATTACTACAGTACTTAATTACGCCCGATTATAGATCAACTATACAAGATTGCGATCGATTAGTGATAGAGAATTATTAATTTATTACATTAAACAACAAAAATACCATATTCTACGTTATAAATAGCATATATTGCATTATAAGTATATAAATTATTTATATTACGAACGTATAAATATTTAAATATATAAATTATATTTAATTAATAAAAACTGATGAATATAAAGAAACGGGAAATTTTATTAGAGTACCCCTTTAATCGAGCGTAGCATGTGATTACGAATTCACTTTATATTTCACACATGTACATCAGCGGCGTGCGCTGGCGCGTGGAATGGAGAGTGGCATGGAGGGTTCAAAGAGGGGATAACGCGCGCGGACGATCACGATGACTGAGTGCGCGTCGCGCGACAGTGTACAGCGAGCTGCTGATACGCGAGTTTCGTTTTGCGCCGTGTGCTCCGTCTCGAAAATTGCGCGACCACGTGGTTTTGCACTCCTACGGGATACTCGCCTCGCACCATTGCCACCGTTATATGCATTGCAAGATCGCGTGACGTAAATCGTTCGTAAATCGGAAATCGTGCATCTTGTTTCATTGCAATTCAAATTGACGATTGTCGTCAACATTTACAAAGCTTATTCCTCGATTCTCCACGGTATCGCAACACTGCCAAAAAGAAAAAAAAATTGGAGCCCGTGTAGATATTCGCGAGTGCGATATTTGTGAAATAGTATTTTTTCTGAGGCTTTTACATTGACAAAGTTCAGCTGCGACGTTACGGAAAAGGTGTGTAACAGCTCCGATATATAAAGGTTTTATTTCTATCTTATTAAATAAACAAGCTTTTAATATGCGTACAATTTAATTAAAAGCGTACATATATAATTAAAAGATTAAAATGTTAACAAAACGGCTAATATACCGTAAAAACTCGCAAAAGAATTTTACAACGGCAAAATAGGGAATGTATTGCTTCACATCTCTTCTTTGTTATACGCCAATGAAAATTATTATAATTATGTTATTTTATCAACGAGCTCGAAAGGAGTATTACATTATTTTAATAAATACATTTTAATACGTTTATTTAATACATTTTTATTTTAACAAACATAAACAAAAACCTTTTGGAAGATAATGAAAATTGTTTGACAGATAATGATGTACATAATTATGAAATACGCATATTTCGCGAATTATTTGGAAATAATTATAATGTTACATTTAGAAACAATTTGTCCAAAAATTTAACAAATTTGATTAAATGAAAAAATCGTTTTTTTAGAAATAAATTAAATTAATTTTTAACAAAATTTAAGTCTTTACTCAAAATTATCGGTTTTATCTTGAAATTAAATTGAAAATTAAATATAAAATGCTCCATGATAAACTGATCGACTGAATTTGTTTTTTCGAACTCTGTTACAAATACAAAAGCAGTTATTGCATTCGAAGAAATGTTTATTTCTCCGGTTATAAAGTTAATAAAAATAAACATTTGAAATACGAGTTCTGTTAAATTTATTATTGAAATATGTTGCGTCGCTGATTCGCAAAGAAAATGATACACTAACTACCACTAAATAATTCATAGGAAATGCGCCTTACGCAAAGTAACATATGTTTATTCATATTTTAATTATGCAATAGAAATCTTTTTTAAAGTACTCTTCTTCTCTTTCTCTCCTCTCTCATCTCTCTCTCTCTTTCTCTCTCTCTCTCTCTCTGCAAAAATAATCAGATCTCTTTCTCTCTTCTTGGCACTCTTCTCCTTGAACGCATATATATTTTAGACGCTATCTTCATCTAAGAGTTTGAAATAAATAAAGAGGTTTATTTCTTAAATCTTATATAAATAAATATATATAAAGTTTTTTTTATCTGAATAAAAATATGATACATTTTTTAATTAAATATAATAATTATAATGTATTGTTTTATGCAATTAAAGATCAAGAATATGAAATTATAAACTATAATAAAATTAATTTAATAGATTAAATAAAATACAATCAAAAATTAACATTAATATATATTAATAAAGTTAAAGTTTAATTATTATTAATATTAATATTAAATTTAATAATTAAATTATTGTTTGTATAAAACATAAAATTGAATGGCTAATAATATACAAAGCTTTTATATATTGCGATTATACAATTGTAATTGTGAACTGTTATAACGACATTACAAGTAAACGGAATAAATTGAACGCTGCCTAAATTGAAATAGAAAATTCGCATTATATTGTGAAATTGCAAACTGTGTTTGTTTCGACAATTGCGGTCTGCCGCGATAAACCGCGTAATAACGTCAATTTGCTGGACGACGAACAACGATAAAAAAAACTTGTTCTGAAGTTTGCTCGTGGAAAATAATAGCGTAGGAAGCGGTTAATTGCAAAATACTAGCATATGTCAAAATATGACATAATTAAAAAAAAAAATGCTCCAAAAAGGCATTGGAAAATTTCTGACATTAAATCTAGTCGTAATACGAAAATATTTGTTATATTGAAATACATACAGAATATTAAAGAATCACGATACTACAATTTAAAAAAGAGAGAAATGTTGAAAAAATTATGCTTATAGCTCTTAGATTTTATCTATTATAATATTATAATATATATTCTAATGTATAATACTATCATATTACAAATATAGTTACTTTTATATTAATTAACGAAGTGATATATTTAAAGCCATATAGACTGCTCTATTGTATATTTAGGTTGGTGTCATTAATTAAATGACAGCTCCAGATATATTGATCGTGTTTAAAATTGAGAGCCATATTTTTTACTAAAATTGTTAAAGTGTCATCTTTATTGTCTGTATATACTTCGGTCATATTACGTCAGGCAGAATATCTAATAATATGTTGGCTGTTTATTGTGTGTTGTTTTTGTGATTGCATAATTTCAGAATTAATAATTGAGGCCAAACCGCACCTCTCGTAGAAAGAAGAAAGAGATGTATGAAAATTCGTGTTGCACGTTGAAATTACAAGCAAATACTTAAGTACTTAATTAACCCTCGATTGCTAGTGATGAGTTTGTATCAGCTGTTTAATATATTTTAATAGCATAAGATTTGATTTCAATAGTAACATATTTTATTTTATATCAAATTCTCACATATTTATAAACCTCTTAATATTTAATTATCATATACTTATATATACATATATTTATCAAACATGTTAAAGTAAACAATCTAAAGTATTTTATTATTTTTTTAATTAGTCATGAGAAGTTATAGAGTTTTCTATTTTAATTAAGAAAAGAAATTAAATTTTTACTGAGTGGTGTTATTAAAGAAGGTTATTATAATTTTTTTGTATATTGAAATAAAATCTAGTTAGCTTGTAAAAGCAATTTAAATAAAATTTATACAAAAATATTGTTTTTCTTATTATTTATTAATTTAAGGTGAATTTTGAATAAGGTTAGGAAAGAAATATTTTGAGTTTTCACGGCTATGATGATACTTGATGAGCGTAGGACGTATAGCAGGCGTCTTTGAAAATAGATCCGGCATCGAGAATAGTTCCAGCTGGCCGAAATTCTGATTCTCGGATGTATCTTTTTTTAACCGACTATATACGACAACACGCGTTTATAATTTGTAATATGCAGTTAAATATCTAAATTAATAACTTAATATTGTCTAAAATTTATTGTAAAATTCTAATTGCGAAATATACAATTATAATATAAAATTATTTATACAAAGAATTATTTTAAATTTATTAATATACAACATTAAGTCCTCAGAAGTTATTCAAATATGAAATAAAATATATTAACTTTCTAAATTTTAAATTATTTTTTCTACGGAATTTAATATATATGCATATATAAAATTTATTTGATATTTGTGTCATTTTTTTATAAAGATTTATTCTTTTGCTGATTATATCATTAATAATAGTTTATATATGTATATATATACACATACGCATGTGTGATAAAAATAAATGTATCAATGATTTTGAATATGGTATATTCATTGAAGCATCAGGAAAACACGAAAAAAAACAGACAATTTTATTTTTCTAGTATAGATAAAGAAAAACAGAAAGAGAGAGAAAGCATTTATTCCCCTCAGGCTGTAATAAATACTCGGGTGTTCATGGAATGCACACCTGTACATACAAAAAACGCAATTACTCATCACTGTATTTTTCTAAATTGCTGTCGTTCCATATTTATACCTGCAGTTTATTTTTTTTTAATGAGATTCTGTTTTCAATTTTAGTATTTTTATAATATTAGTATCATTATATTACGTTATATATAAATTGTTATATTACTTTTATTACAATATGTTTAATTATATTAATTATGCAAAAGAGACTGAAAGAAAAATGTTATCTGTATAATAAGTATTTCTGATACATTTTGTCTTCGACTTTAATACACACCTGTACACACAGAAAAAGGTAATAAGAAGGTATATGTATTTTTTCAATTACTTTTGTTTCATTTGCTTGCACATTTGGAGTTTGTTTTTTAATTAGGATTATATTTTTTACTTTAATATTTGAATAATTTCGGTATTCTTGACTAAACATTCATTATTTGAACAGACAATTACGCCACACGCTAATTACTCGCATTATATACCAAGCGAAGCGACTCAAGGTCACTGTGTTTGTCATGTGCCGTGGGTTCTCATTTATGTTTTTTTCGTCACATCAATTAATCTCTATAAAACGTAGGGTTATTGCGATTTAAAGAAAAATTCTTTTTATTTTGCCGAATGTAAAGTTTTAAATTATCTTTAATTGACATTTAATTAACTTTAATTAGTGTTAAGTAATTTTTTTATTAACATTTACAATAGTCAATATTATTGTTTAATTTAATCTCTAAGCGAGTAGAGAGAGTCACAAGCAATATAAGAATTAATAAAATTTACGTATATGTACATATAAATAACATAAAATTTAGTAAATTAAACTTGGCAAAGATCTCAGTCTCGATACGATGGAGAAAGTTGTTGCGAGAAGTTACGAGTGTTATGGGGTACTGTGATTCGCATGATTGGCATTATGCGATGCACGTATCGTTGTCACAGCTCGCCGTGCAATATGTCTCAGTTTGCGACGCGGATAAGACCGCATCTCCTTGATTAGGCTTTATCTCGTCCACCCACAGCACAGCGGCGCGGATATTAAGATGAACAAGCGTAACACGCGCGCACACACTGCGAGATCCATTATAGTGATTGCACACGTCTATATACCTTAAGCTCGTTCTAAAGAAAGATATACCCAGCACAATCGGTAACTTTTTCGAGATACTTTTTTCTTCAAATTGATCGTTTACTGCTTGAGATGAAAGTAAAGATATATAAAATTGATTATCATCATAACGCGTTATCGCTTTAAGTATGTCATAATTAAAGTTTGAGCATGTTAAGAAAATGAGTTGTCCAGCGTCCCACAAAATCTGTAGATCCATCTAGCTCCGATCATTTCTTTGTTCGTAGTTTACTTAGTTCGAAGTTTTCTTTCATCTTGCCGGGCGAGTGCAATTTCCCGCGCGAGCAGATGACGCGGATGAAGCGCGATCGTCAAGATACAACTCACGGAAACTCCTCGAAGAAACACTTAGATGAAACACTGACGCAACTCTTTATTGTATCTCGTATTGCTATTGTTTCAAAGATTTCATCTCCGTTGTACAGTATAAAATTTTTTAGATGAGTAGAAATATATTATCTGGTCGAATACACAGATATAATAATTAATATATTAATTTTATAATTATATAT